GAGAGAGAGAGAGAGAGAGAGAGAGTGTGTGTGTGTGTGTGTGTGTATAAATGCCCAAAACTGAAGGCCGGAGAGGGTATCAGATCACTTGGAGTCACAGGTGGTTGTAAGCCACCTGAAGTGGGTGTTGAAAATTAAACTTAGGTCCTCTGGAAAAGCAGTAAACACTCTTAACCACTGAGATGGCTCTCCAATCCTAGATGGATTTTAGTTCAGAAAATCCAGACAGGATAAGGAGCAGGGTTCGCCTCAGCGCTGGTGTCGGGGAAGCCTGAGCAAGGGTGCCCAGCAACCACGAAGCTGTCAGATTGCCTTCTAAGATCAGCTCCCAGAGTGCCAGTGACTGTCATCCTCTTGGGAGGGACAACAATTCTCTGGATTCACCCAGTAGCAAGAAATGAACCTTCTAACACTGGCTTTGGGGGACCACATTACAGGACTCTATGTATGTATGAATGTATGTATGTATGTATGTATGTATGTATGTATGTATGATGTACACGGAAGTATGAAGTCCTTTAGTGAATAAACTAAGACTTAAATGAACAGCAGGATGTGGTGGTGAACACTTTTAATCCGAGTACTTGGGAGGCAGAGACAGGAGGAGCTCTGTGAACTCAAAGCCAGCCAAGACTAAATAGTGAGATCTTGCCTCAAATCAAAAACAAAACCACCAAATGACAGGCCAGGATTGTCAGATCCTTGATGAGAGCTTAGCTAAAGAGAAAAGGTTCCCCAAAGCACAAGAACAAAAACTGAGGAAACTGAAACACAGCACATGCACAAATGCACACACACAGAGGGGAAGAGAGAGAGAAAGTGAGAGAGAGAGAAATTTTAACAGATTTTAACAGAAAATAACATTAATAAAGTATGAAAAGATATTGTGTCCCGAGTATAGAAATGGCTCAGCAGTTAACAGCACTAGCTGCTCTTACAGAGGACCCAGGTTTGACTCTCAGAGCCCACATGGAGACTCACATTACTCTGTAACTCATTCCTTCATTCCTAGGGGATCCCATGCCTCTTTTTGCCCTCCTTGGGCTATGCACACAAATGGTGCAGACATACACACAGGCAACACACACACATACATAAGATAAATATTTTAAACAAGAAAGGTTTTGGTTTTGGTTTTTCAAGACAGGGTTTCTCTGTGTAGCTTTGGAGCCTATCCTGGCACTCGCTCTGGAGACCAGGCTGGCCTCAAACTCACAGAGATCTGTCTGCCTCTGCCTCCCGAGTGCTGGGATTAAAGACATGCGCCACCACTGCCCGACTACAAGAAAGGTATTGTATATAAAAGGAGTGTATTATAAAAGATGAACAGAGAAACAAAATAACAAAAATGTAAGTTAAAAGCCTGGTAGTCAAAAGTCAAATAGAAGCATTACAAGATAATAAAAAAAACTCTCAGAATGGAAAAAAAAGAGCAGATGGAAAGTAGAAATGAAAGGGAAATCAGAACATTCAACATGTGAACAAATTTGCTCCACAAAGGACAGAAAGCACAGTAAGTTATTAAACAATATGATTAATATTTGTAGAATCGAAGATTGAAAGTCTTGAAACTGAAATGACTTACCAAAACTCCAAAGCAATCACTGTAAAATCTTACAATTTTAGAGTAAAGAAAACAGTATTGACTTTTGGAAATGAAACAAAATAGTTTTCATAAAATGAAGCAGGAATCAAAACATTAGATTTCTCAACAGTAAACACTGGATGATAAAAGCTAGAAAGAAATAACATCTTAAAAGCTCTAATAAAGGGCTGGAGAGATGGCCCAGAGGTTAAGAGCACTGGCTGTTCTTCCAGAGGTCCTGAGTTCAATCCCAGCAACCACATGGTGGCTCACAAACATCTGTAATGATATCTGGTGCCCTCTTCTGGTTTCCAGGCATATGTGCAAGCAGAACTCACAATAAATAAATACTTTTTAAAGCTCCAATAAAGTGAAGAATCATGAAATGTTTCTTTTCTATTTTTATGACTTTTATTACATTTGTTCTTTGGCAATTAAAACAAGAGAGAGAGAGTTCTAGTAAAGGGCCAGGCACAGAGGCAGAGGCAGGCTGATCTCTGTGAGTTCCAGGACAGCCATGCTACATAGTAAGGCAATGTCTCAAAAACATTGTTCTAATAAATTTATGTCCTAGTCGGGCAGTAGTAGTTCACTCCTTTGGTCCCAGCACTCAGGAGGCAGAGGCAGGCAGATCTCTTTGAGTTCGAGACCAGCTTGGTCTACAAGAGCTAGTTCCAGGACTGCCTCCAAAGCCACAGAGAAACCCTGTCTTGAAAAAACAAAACAAAACAAAATTATTTCCTGCCTTGATTTCTATACAGAGCCAAATCATCAAGTAGGAAGCATTTATATATAGATGTTTTCTTTAATTCCAAGAATAAGAATATATGCCAGGCATTGGTGGCGCACTCCTTTAATCCCAGCACTGGGGGAGGCAGAGGCAGGCAGATCTATGTGAGTTCAAGACCAGCCTGGTCTACAAAAGCTAGTTCCAGGACTGCCTCCAAAACCCCAGAGAAAACCTGTCTCGAAAAACCAAAAAAAAAAAAAAAAAAAAAAAAAATACTGTCTATGGATAGCTCTTCAGCAAAAAAAGCAAGCAAACAGGAAAAAGACAGGACCAACACAGAAGAAAAGCAGAGTGAAGTTTCAACACCACACAGAATGGCCAGGCCAGAAAGAGTAGGAGGAGAAGGAGAAGGAGAATTCTCAGAATGGGGGCAACTTAAACTCATTTGTTAGGGCTGGAGAGATGGCTCAGAGATTAAGAGCACTGACTGCTCTTCCAGAGGTCCTGAGTTCAATTCCCAGCAACCACATGGTGGCTCACAACCATCTATTATGAGACCTGGTGTCCTCTTCTGGTGTGCAGATATACATGGAAGCAGAATGTCATATACATTATAAATAAATAAAATCTTAAAAAAAACCAAAAAACTCATTTATTATAAAAGGTATCAGGGCAATTAGAAAAAAAACATACAGTTGATTAGTTAGGGAGGGTTTTAAGTATAGATTCATGTTCAATGAAGATGAAAAATGAGTCAGTAACCCCAAGTACAAGAGGCAGGAGTGGAATCTCCCGTCAGTGAAGGGGACGAAGAATGGTATAATGTTCCCGTAAAATCCCGCTTTTAAATCAGAGCTGTGGTCAGCTAGAGTGGAAAGGAAAATGACGATGGAGAGGGCAAGTAGGAGAGGGACTTAGAACACAGCTTTGCCTGTGAGGATAAGCAGCCATCAGAGAACATGGAAGGTTGGCAAATCAAGAAAATAAGCATATTATTTAGAAACATGGAAATGCATGCCAGAAGACATGCCACACACTGACACTCAAGTAGGAACCCGAGGGAGATGAAGTAAGACTGCATTATAGATCATTTGGTAACACACGGTTTTTAAAATGTGTATAGTTAACTATTTAGAATAAAACTGGGAGCCAGGTGGTAGTGGTGCACACCTTTAATCCCAGCACTTGGAAGTCAGAAGCAGGCAGATCTCAGTGAGTTTGAGGCCAACCTGGCCTACAAAGCAAGTTCCAGGACAGCCAGGACTGTTACACACAGAAACCCTGTCTCGAAAAACCAAGATAGATAAATAAAATAAAATAAAGTTAAAGTCAGCAAGAAGGCTCAGTGGGTGAGGATGCCTGTCAAAGAGCCTCGTGACCTAAATTTAATCCCCAAGACCCACATGCGGGAAGAAGAGAACTGACTCCCACAAGGCCTCTGATCTCAACAGCATGCACGCACACACACACACACACACACACACACACACACACACACACACACACACAAATAAATATTAACCATAAAGAGAATAAGAAAACAAATACCTCTTGGTAATAGGTAATAACAAGGAATGCTATCCAAAAAAAAAAAAAAAAAAAGCATGTTTTACCAGGCATGTCTTGCTGAGACAGCAACAAAAGAACTAGAGTTAAAAGATGGCACCCAGGAACCTTAAAAGAATTCAGCCAGAAGGATTTTCGGGGGTACAGTAGCTGTGTTTTCATTCTGCATCACACTGAACTATTCCTTAATCCACAAAGAACAAAGCCGTGTGTGAGCTCCTGCATTACATCCTGACAGTCTAGTAGCCATGGTGCCTGTGTGCTGGACGTTATATGAATATTTTTTAAAAAATGAGAAAAAGCCCAGATTTCAGAGTATGTGGGAAAAGCAGCAAGGAGCTGCAGCCACTTAGCTCAAAAAGGGACAGAGCTCTGGAGTGAGACTCAGACACTCCCAGGATGGAGTGCAGCTCAACCCAAGTCTTTTCTGCCTTGTGTCCCCAGTGCAGCCCATGACCTCAAACCAGTCTGCTCAGAGTTGGACTGTGTTCCTTAGCTGCCATGCTACTATATTTAGGGATTTAAGAAGCAAAGGATTCTTTTCCATGATAGGCCCCAACTAAGTTATGATAGGCCATAGGGAATCCCCAGTGAATTACTGGGCTGACCAAAGAGGAAAGAATAGTAACTGGCCATCCTGTCATTATCTGTCAGCAAAATGCTGACTTCTTGTGGCAGCTGGATTTTAGGGACATTATCTCTGAACATGTGAAAGACATTCTTGTGGTGACAGCTCAAATTGTACTGAGAGAAAACACTATAATTATAAGTTATCTCCAAGCATCCATCCCATTGGTGGGTGTTTTAAAGGCTCCGGCAAGGGGACATTTACACTGTAAAGTCCTGCTAAGTGAAATTAGGAACTGGGTATGGTAACCAACATCTCTCATTCCAGCACTTGGAAAGCAGACGGGTGAGTCTGAGGCCCGTCTGGCCTACATAGTGAGTTCTAGGCCAGCCTTCAAGGAAGGGAAGGGGGGAAGGAAGGGGAGAGAAGGAGAGAGAGAGAGGAGAAAGGAAGAGAGAAAGTCCATGAGGGCACACATGTTTTAGGAACAAATGAAACCAAAATATGTCCTATTTTTTTCCCAGACTGTTAAGGGTTATATGGGGGCCTTTGAGGTTGTCTAACATAGGTTCTTCCCAACCCCGATCATCTTATTTTTTAATATTTTTGTTTAAATTCATGATCCCACAGAAATTACAGGCTTAATATGATTTTACAAAATCAACACTGTGGGGAAACTCTAATTTTACAAACAAAGTAACATACTCTTGAAGGCTGGTTATAGGGCAGTTGTCTCCAGGTGGATCTAAATTATCCCATAAAGTCCTGAGCCTTATTGACTAGGTGTTTAGAATCCCTAATGGTTTCACTTAGGTTTTTCTAAAGTAAAGGATGTTTTGGAGAGATAGCTAAAAAAAAAAAGGGGGGGGGAGTATTTTATCCCTATGGTGTTATTTGTGTTTCTTGACTTTACTAAGAAAGTACATCAAAACTGAGCAGGTACAACCGAGTGTAGTAACCAATGGGAGAAAACAAGGAATTCTCATAAATCAAAAAAATAAGTGTCAGCCGGGCGTTGGTGGCACATGCCTTTAATCCCAGAACTCGGGAAGCAGAGGCAGGCGGATCTCTGTGAGTTCGAGGCCAGCCTGGTCTCCAGAGCGATTGCCAGGATAGGCTCTGTCTCGAAAAACCAAAAAAAAAAAGTGTCGCCAGGCAGTGTGGCGCACACCTTTAATCCCAGCCTTGTCTACAGAGCTAGTTCCAGGACAGCCAGGGCTACACAAAGAAACCCTTTCTGGTTAAAAACAACAAAAAAAAGTATCATATTTGTTTTAACATAAAATGCAAGTTTTAAAATTTCATTTTATGTCTTGTTTTTTTTTTTTTTTCCTGCAGCAAACATGAATTCGTTTTACAATAATCAAAAGGATATATTTTAAAGTCCAGATTTTGGTGTCAATTTTACTGGTTATCTGGCACCTACAGGTCCCTGAGGACAACACAATAGATAGAACCATTCAAGCTTTGTGTGTGTGTGTGTGGGGGGGGGTCTGGTGTGTGTGTGGATGGGTCTGGTATGTGTTGCGTGTGCATATGTGTTTAGGGGATGTCCGAGCCTTGAGTTTTGAAAGGATACAATGAGAGGCGGTAAGATTCTCACGGAATTGTGAAGCGCCTACGAAAAGCTCTGATCACAGAGACTAGCAAACAGAAGTTGTGATTCTCCCCTCCACCCTACATGATCCCAGTTCCCCATTGGAAACCGGTGAGGACACAGCGGGCCATCACACGCACCCCCATACCAAGTCAGATCCAGGAGGCTTTTATTACCTTGGCTGTGGCTGGCCCCTTCCAGTTCAAGAACTGCTCTAGTTCTGTGCCTTTAGCCCGGGCCCTGGAGGAGTCAAACACTTTCCTCCTGGACCCTTGCATCTTGCCACAGACGGCAGAGTGTCTCTGCAGCCTGAGCCAAAGAAACGTGCGTCCACAGTAGCTGCACTTGCCCAGCTCTGGCTCTTCTGTGGAGGAGCTGGACTCCGAGGAGGCCGGCGTTCCCGACAGGCTTGATGCCTGCGGTGTGCTACCCAGCTCTTCTGAAGGTTTCGAGAACTCTTCTGCCGGTGTCGCTGAGTCTCGCACCTTGCGGTTGCTGGCCATCAGCCTTTCCCTTTTGAGCCTCTGGATTTCATAGTCAGAGAACTGGAGTGGACTGGAGTCTTCCTGAGCCCGTTCACAAGGTTGAGCCTCTCTCCTGTTTCTACTGAGCATCTCAGAACTGAACTCGGGGGATAAGGCGGCATTGCAGCCACTTTCTCTAACTCTCCCGGCAGGCATCATCCTTGGTAGCTCTCTGTCTTCATTTTGCTGGGCCTGTTTCTTTTCCTTCTGGATCCTTCGGAGACCCTCCTCTGTCTTCTTCAGCTTCTCTCTCAGGAGGGTCTCCTTCCTTCGGATTTCCCTCTGTAAAGTCTCCCCTGCAGCTTCTAGTCTTTGGATCTGCGTCCACTCGGGCCTGGTCCTGTGGAGGTCTGCCATGACCTCCTCTGCCTGCACAGAGGCAAGAATAGATGAATTCACCCAGCTCCTCAAACCAAAGTTGCTGTCTGAAAACTCAGGAAGTCTTGGGTAGACATTCTGGTCTCCATCACCAGTGCCTGCCTCGCCTGTACTGAGAGACTTCCGGTGGACCATGGGTTTCAGTGGGTATGCCCGGTCCACGCCAATTCGCTTCTTCCTAAAGGGAATGAAGTCCTGGTCGTTTGCTTTGTGATACCGGGGCGGAGGGCTTGACAAGGAAGACAAAGCCTTTCCTTGGCCCTGGGGATTGCTCCCTGGGCTTCGCTGGCTGATCCTGGCACTGTGGGGGCAGGAGTGCCTCCGGGCTTTGGCGCAGATGTTCCTTTGGGGGTAAGTGGAGACACCCTCCTCCTGCTCCAGTTCTGTGTTGCTCCAATGCTTCTGCTGGAAATTGTTCCTCAAGTGTCCCACCGAGGACCGCTGGGAAGAGTCACGTTGTTCGTAAGGGTCGTGCTTAGCTGAGTGGAGCCCTGGCGCTTCTGTTTTACTATGTGGGAACATAACGCCCACAGGCAGATGTGGAGCCAACTGGAGGCCAGCCATTCAGGGCCTGGACCGATGCCTAGGGGAGATTTAAAACAGATACATGTGAAGAATTTGTCTGAGGTTCACTCCCAGCTGCTAGAGTAAACCTACCTACCCACGTTCCCTTTAAACATTTCTCGTTTCCTGGGACTGTGGCGCTCGATCGGCCTGGACCTTGCTTCAGTACGCACTCAGTGAGTGAGGGTTCTGTGCCAGACATTGCTGAGGCCCAGGACCAAAACATGAACGGGACACAGGTGTTCAGCCACTGGCTTTCTGCCACACCCGTATCTGATCTGCCATACACTATTATGGAATGGGTGGAAATGGCCTTAGATTGAAGGTCATCTGTAACAAAACAAAACAAAACAAAAAAAGCAGGCAGCCTGTTCCTTACTAGCCCCGGTTCTCGCAAACTGCAGAGTCCGCTCTGAGTCCAGGCCCACATTTTTACAGGGTGAGGGAGAGCCTTGGCCCCGCGAGGGAAAGCTCTCCCTGGGCTCTCCCCTGCTGGGGCCGCCCGGGCTGGAAGCGGGTGCTCAGCTGTCAAACACTCATCCCCAAATGTCCGATGGCACAAACCGCACCGGGTACCAGGGTGTTGGGCCAGGGGGTGGACACCTGATCGCCCCAGCGCGCTTTAGATCCGGATCTCGGAAGTCACGTTCAGTCCCAGGGGGTCAAACCGTAACTCTCCTTGGGACACAGCCTCTAGAGATAAACTCTCACTCTTCAGTCCCTTGGGAGGTCGTGGTATCCATTCGGTGTCTCCCCTCCTTTTCGCGTACCTGAGGCGCTCGGGGGCCGCTCCTGCTTAGGGAAAAATCTCCAAGACCTAGTTTTCCACACCTGACTTCACCCAACCGCTGTCCGCGCAGGCGCTCTCTGTCCACCTCGGTATCCCCGTTGCCTGGAGACCAGAGCGCCACCTCTGGTTGCGACCTTCCAGCCCCCGGACGTGCGCAGGCGCAGTCCACAAGCGGTCCGGAGCTGCCCGGGCGGGTTTGGGATGCAGAAAGGTGGGGTGTGGGTGCAGAAGGGTCACCTGACACAGAATGCAGCCAACTCTGCAGCTCAGATCAGCGCTGCCCTTGGGGAGAGGAGCAAGGGTAGGAGAGGCTTTTCTGGAGCTACATCAAAGAAGAACTTGCATCTCTCTGAGATGATGCTCCCAGACCTTAGGGTGTGCCCGTGTCTGGAGAAGGGTGGGGCCCCTAGATGGGCTGCGGAGTCAACCGGCCACAGGATTGGGGGTTCGCCTGGCTAGCGGGAGTGGGACTGCTGATCGCTCTTCTGAGCGCATTTGGCTGCTGCGCCCAGGCCCCAGGTAGGGCTACAAAGCTTCAGGCTACATGCTCCTGGGCTGTCTTCCCTCTCAATGCTTTGGCACTTGCTTTAGATTTACTATTCTTTCGTTATCGTTCCAGAGTAGTTTCTAAGGCCAATCTAATCATTTTGCTCTTTTAACGTTTTACTCTCACGTGGCAAATCTGACCGTTTCTACTTAGGGCCCAGGAATGACTCAGCCAAATGTAATGATAATAAAGTTAACTACCAGATCGACAATAATGAGCATAACTTGATTTCAACATTAAATGATCCCTCCAACTTTTTGACATCAGAAGACAGTTTATTTGTCTTCTTCGTGCTTCAGTTCATTTGGATAAGCTTTTTGGAACAGACAGCTCCGGTTTTTTTTTCCTGTAACTAAGCAGAAGATCCGTGCACGTGGGAAATAAAGTGGACAGCAGTCTCGTTAATACTTCAGCATATCAGATGTCAGCTTTTATGCGCTACAAAGAAATTCCTTGGTGGGCTCTCTAGGGCAGATTGTCAGTCATTGTTTTCGTTCCCAGTTCTCTTTTGCCTCTCCACATTTGCAGACTTTTCCCACTGACTCGGTCCCGGTAAATCTCAGCTTCCCCGGCTTCAGTCTTCTACTGTGGTTTTCTCCTGTGCGACCTTTTTAACTAATTTCAATACTCTTCATCTTAATCTCTGTTTTTAAAATACGCATAACTTCCTCATGCAAAACAAGTTTCACTTCTCTGAACCTGTCTCCTCTATGTTAGGATCCCACTTGTTTCTCCTGTTTTCTTTTGTTAGCTGCTTATTTCCAGACAGGCTCCCTATTTAGCCCGCTGTTAGCACTGTTTAGCCCTCCTGCCTGTTTAATCCTCTTGCCTTAGATTCCCCCAGGCTAGAATATAGGCGGCTATCATTGGATGATAGCAGCTCTGATAGAAAGGTTTGAGAATAAATAAGGAGAGAGAGAGAGAGAGAGAGAGAGAGAGAGAGAGAGAGAGAGAGAGAGGAGAGACCCGAGACACACAGAGATTACAAATAAAAAGTGTATATAGTACTCTGGAAATGTATACTAAAGCTACTAAAACTGGATTGATAGTGAGATTAGCACAGCTGCTGCTCAAGAATAAAACACAAATTTATAAAGTATGTCTTTTAAAAATTGAGTATATTACAGCTGTAATATAGCTGTAATACTAGCCCAGTCAAGATGAATCAGTCGTCAGGAGCCACATTTTAAAAAAGCTGGACTTAGCCGGGCATTGGTGGCACACGCCTTTAGTCTCAGCACTCGGGAGGCAGAGGCAGGCGGATCTCTGTGAGTTCGAGGCCAGCCTGGTCTCCAGAGCGAGTGCCAGGATAGGCTCCAAAGCTACACAGAGAAACCCTGTCTCGAAAAACAAAACAAACAAACAAACAAACAAAAAAGCTGGACTTGGTGGCACAGATTTGTAATCCTGCTTCTGAGAATCCTCACTGGCCAGTGAACCTAGCCTACTCAGCAAGTTCCAGGACAATGAGAGTCCCTGTCATAAGAAAAAATGGGTTGTACCTGGAGAATGACACTCCAGGTTGTCCACCGGCCTCCACATGCGAGTCTACAAACACACATGAACAAGAAGATACACAAAATCACACACACACACACACACACACACACACACACACACATATATATATATATCAATGTAAAATGTGATGTTTTGATACAAGTATACATTTTTTAAGATCTTATTTTATTTATTATGTATACAACATTCTGCTTCCATGTATAGCTGCACACCAGAAGAGGGCACCAGATCTCATTACAGATGGTTGTGAGCCACCATGTGGTTGCTGGGAATTGAACTCAGGACCTCTGGAAGAGCACTCAGTGCTCTTAACCTCTGAGCCATCTCTCCAGCCCCCACAAGTATATATTGTAAAATGATAAAATTGAGCTAACTAGTAAATCCTTCTGATCCTATAGTTTATCTCCATAATGACTTCTTGAAAAATTGAGATGTATGCTTTAGCCATTTTTTTATCTCCCACATTAGATGTAGAAATACTTCTATGGTCCTGTCTCCCTGTAATAAGCCAAGTCAATCTCAGGAGGTCTCAACCATGGTTGTGCAGTGGGGAAGATACCCTGGGAATAAAATGTGGGCATATAATCAGAAGGTTCCCCAAAGGTCCTAATGTGCACGTGGTGTTGAGAGCCCCTGGCTTCATCACAACTACTTTTACCTTCTTGCCTATGGGTACTACCTCACCCACAAGCTGGGTGGTAATAGAAGACTGTAGTTTGGGAGTGGACTTTGGAGTGGCCACCTGAAACTAAATCCTAGCTACATCACTTTCTGGGTGTGAATCTGTATGGAAAAATGCTGTCTTCTCCACAAGCCCTTTCTCAGTCTTTCCAGTCAGAATTAATCTCTGCTCTGTCATATCGCTTTCTGTCTCTGTTACAATGCTGGGCCGGCTCATGACGCACTCTCAAAGAATGTTTTTGAAATGCATTACCATGTATCTTGTCATCTGAACAGCATATTTATCTATGATAAAGAACTCTTTGAGGGCAAAGATTATGTACCATTCATCTTTGTACACCATATGTTGTTCTATCCATTTAAATACCCAGTGGGTTTGGAATCTATAGGGAAAGCTATTTTAAATGAATTTTAGAGAAATTACATCAGTCAAGTACACTGTTTAGTATTGTTTTCAGATATTGCCAAGGACACCATCTAATCCAGCCCCTTCACCTCCCAGCAGGAAGGCTTTATGACTCTGCAGTGGGGAACTAGTGTAATGGTGGATTTCCATAGCTACCACTGAAAACTATCTAATCTTGCCAAGACTGCCAACCTAACATATTAACAAATGGGGCCCAGTGTTATGAAATGATATAATACATACAAGCAATCCAAGAAGGGACAATAAACACCACACACAGTTTGTTTCATACACATTCTTGATCCTAAGGGTAGCTGAATTCCAGGGCATACAAGTCAATTCTCGTTTTCGCAATCCACACAAAAACCCCTTAGCAATTTTCTTTTCTAAAAGCAAATGCATGCAATTTGGTTATTTTGCTTGGATGAATTGATTCAATTCAATTCTGGAGCCATGAATTGCTTGCCAATGTTTTATTATTTGTTTATCATTTTATTTAAGCATAATCTTAGTAAGACAGAGTGGCAGCTTCCAAAAACCCATATAGAATAACCTCACTGTGATGTCTTGTGCATTTACTGTCCCTTGCTACCAAGTCCAAATTATACATGACCCAGAATTGGAAGAGAATTGAAGGGAAAAAAAAACAGGTCAGAAAGGTGGGTATGGCTCCTATTCTATTGATTTATTTGTAATGTTTAATGTTTATTGTCTGTCTCTTGCCTCGAGAATGGATAAGCTCTTCTAGCGCAGGATTCTGCCATTACAGTCACTGATGTATTCCAACAGCCCTTGGCACGTAGTAGGCAGTCATACTACTGCTTGGTTTATGAGTGAACATATTCTAAGTGTTTCGTCTATGCCTTTCTATACCCACGGGGAAATGAGAAGAGAGGTATGTCTAGTGATAGAAGTGAGTGCAGGCTGTGTCAGTGTGCGCAAAGCCTGACTCTGCTTAAATCAATCCAAAGCTCCTGCCCCAGCCAATCTGGCGGGTCCTGAAGCCCCGCCCCCAGGATGCCTAACCTACCTATGATTGGTTGGACCTCGGTGACGGGCGTGGAGGGTCGCGTTGGAGGAGCCGCACTCTAAAACTTCCGGGAGCGGCGGTTATAGTATCGTGGGCGGTTGATCTGAAGGTCTCCAGGGCGGTTCTACGGCAGGTGGGGAAGCCCGGGAAACCCGAGTGTCCGCCGCTGGGATCACCCAAGTGTCAGTGGAGGGGATTGCGGGCCTCAGGGGGAGAGGATGGGTGGCAGCCGCGGGGGGGGGGG